CAAAGCATGTAAACACAATATGCATATAAACCATTCCCCCATGGGGTATGATGGAACCACACAATGGCTAAACCGAGGACATGAAAGCTTACCTTGCAAGCTAACAATCCAAGCAAAGAGTCCACACTAGCTCAAGTCCCACAAACAGCACAATCACAATCTGTTTATACAATAATTAATCATCAATAATCAATGCTCAAGATTACATTAAGTGATTAAGGCTTTCTTACTCATTTTAACTCGTTTCATGTTGTTTCTGCAGGAGGTATTCGAATACTCCTCGATGAGTATTCGAATACTCCAGCTCTCCAGAAAGTATTCGATTACTTTCACCAAAGTATTCGAATACCACAAGGTATTCGAATACCAACACCCCAAGTATCCAAATACCACAGTATTCGAATACTCTCCAGTATTCGAATACTTCTTCAAAGGTATCCGAATACTTTTCTTCCCAGAAAAGTATCCCAATACTCCAGCAAGGAGTATTCGATTACCAGAGGACAAGTATTCGAATACTACACGAAAAGTATTCGAATACTTCTCCATCAGAATGCAGAAATTCAAACTTCTGCATAATCCCATTTTTAAGGGTCCAAACGTGATTTGGAGTCCAATGACTCCATAAACAGATATTCAACAACATCTTAAGAACTCAGAAACACATTCTTTTACTCAAATGGTTAAAGTTTCTCTTTTTAATCGATTAAACAAACTTAAAACCTCAAAATGACAAAGAGGTGATCATGAATACCTCTAAGGCTCCAAAACTCAAAAAATGAGACACACTAGGGGTCCTCTACACAGCACAACAACACCGACTTTGCCAAGTCACAAATTAACACCAAAAGCTTAGACCTTTCACCAACAAAAAGACTTCTTGGAGCCTCCAATGGTATGAACAAGGCTCACACCACCTCAAATCCCAAGAAAACAGCTCCAAGACAGCAACTCCACCTCACCATAGAGGCCACAATCTCAGATATGAGACACTCCTCACCCTCACAAGACTAACTCCCACAAGCTAGAGTGTTTAGGTGAAGGGAAGAGGAAGAAAAATGGTATCTTGGCTCACAAAAGGGGAAGAGAAGGAAATGAAACAGTGAAGGGAAACTGATCAGCCACTCACTCACGTAGCAACAGAAATGATACCTAGGGTTTAGTGCCAAAAAAGCATATATATATATATATATATATATATATATATATATATATATATATAGGCAATTTAAGTTTAAATACCCAGTATTAACAATAATAGCTACGCTTAGCATTTTAATCTCAAACTTTGGAATCTGAACCTACTCATTTTTATAAGATTTATCATATTTTTATATTATTTTTTGCAGCACCTTTCTGGTACGCGCTTTTCCATAGCCAGTATCAGTTCTGGCACCAGTTCTCATTATTTTAACTTGAAACTTGTTTTACAACTCCTATATATTATTCTAGTGACATATACACATTTTTTTATAATTTTCCAGGATACTTCATCGGTATGCATTTATACCGAGTAACAGAACCGGTATCTGCACTTTTTGTCAGAAAAGCGACTTTCAGCATTATTAATCACTTATCATAATTATTTAGGCCTTCTCATAATTATTAGGGTCAATTATGGAATCATTTTCTAATTTCATATAATTAATTAATTAACTTCATTAATTAACGGTGCGAGTTCTTACACTGAGCAGTTGAAGAAGACCACATGCTATATTGCAAGTTCGGAAAGCGTCTACTGGAGCAATGCAAGATCTCAAAGAACAAGGCGGGTGTGTGGCAGTTCTCAGGTACGGTTGACATTGAGGTTCCTGATGTTGGCCCAAATGCACCCATGGTTGAGCCCGAGGTGGAGGATGATGATGACGACGATGATGAGGCTGACTTGCAGGATATAGCTGAGTGGGTTTTCATTGTGTGATGTCATGAAGGGCATAAATGCCACACTGAAGAAGATAGGAAAGATGGCGCTGAAACATAAAAAATGGAGGAAGAGTCACATCCAGAAAGGAAATGAAAGGTTTAGACACATACAGGGAAGGTTCAAGGGTGTGGAAGATAGGCTTGCTCGTCTGGAGCTTGCACGAGGACAGGAGGTTGAGGAGGTAGCATGGGAGGATCCTCATGTGTCAGATGAGGAAGACGAGGAGACAGAGTCCGAGGAGTACGAGGATTAGATTTAGGGTTTAGGTTTTTAGTTCATGTTTTTCTGTATTCATGTCATGTATTTCCTTTATTTCCTATTTGATGTAGGTTTTAGGGTTTGTATTTCCTTTGTTTCCCGAACTATTTGATGTAATGAAGTTGTTGTTTCATTATAAGATTTATTTATCATTAATTATGCCCTTTTCAATGTTAACAAATGAGATAAATGGTACTTTTGTATGAACTTGATCAATTTGGTTCAAATAATAGCACAACAGGTCACAATCGTCCATAGCAACTCAGAACAATCACTAATAGGTCTTTAAAATGATTTAACCAAGTTTTGTTTAGCCTAAACCAACGTTTGCAATCAATACGTGCATGTTTTGGGAATTGAAAGACCACGTTGCTTTTTTGTGTCACAATTTGTGTTCCCCAAGTCGCACTAACTTAGTTCATGAATGTAGATTCTTAATTAAGTGTCAAAAATCCGAGGAAAACAGAATGAGGTGCCAAAAGCAATGTTTTAATCGATTAATCTGTATTGGTTTAGTCGATTAAATATTGTAGTCGATTAAACCATTACAGGTTAATCGATTAAAACATTGCTTTTGGCACCCAGTTTATTTTTTTCAGATTTTTTAGTCTTCATTGAGACTCTACACTCCTGAACTAAGGTAGCTTGACTTGGGGAACATAATTTGTGACAATTGCATCTATAACACATTTCACATCTTCATCGTCACATATATCGTTACCAATGTAGAATATAACATCCTTACCAACTGTAGACTCTACCCTGGCGATCATCCGCTGAACGCATTGGCTGCCTTATAGCCCTAATTTTTGGTGAATTCTCTCCTTCAGCTCATTGTATGTAGTGCCCTGTTTGATTTTCAACATTTTCGTTTTTCCTTCAAATTGAACACCATTGGGGCCTTCATAATGCTTTCCATCATAGTAGATCATTGTAACATACATGTTTGGACTTGAGCTCATCTTTCACACGAATTGGGGAGTAGGGTTCGAATTTTGGGGGTTTGGATTCGGATTTTGGGGGCAACAAATGAGAATATAAGTGGAATGACAATGATTTCACAATATTAAGGCTTTAGAGATGGTGGGATGAAATGTAATCGTGATTTGAAAGATCACAGATGACAAACAAGAGAGATATTGGTTTACAAAACGTTAATATTTGAAATGAGACCGAGAAAGGGCAAAATATAGGGTTTCTGTCGCGATTTAATCAACTAAATAACAATTGTAGTCGATTAAACCTCCTCGAAATTTAATCGACTAAGAGGGATTTTTAGTCGATTAAATTTCGGTCATCATTTCTTTTATATTTTGACCATTTAGTCGATTAAAAATTCATCTTAATTGACTAAAGGGGGGAAAGATGGTGGATAGTTCTGGGAAAGGAGAAAATTGGTTATTAATTAATTAATGAGGGGCAAAAGGGTCAAAAAGTTGTTTTCTCCCCCCTAACATTTGGAACTTTATTTTTTTAAGATGTAGTAGAACTTGTAAGAGTCTAAGGAAGCCCCATCACTAGAGTGATATATATATATATATATATATATATATATATATATATATATATATATTTGAATTGATAAAATTGATACAAAGTAGTGTAATGAAATGTTATAACATTACTTATCACTGTTTAAAATATGATGAAACAAAATAAAATTAGATGAAAGTATTTCATTCCATTCAATACCTTTTATTTTCTTCCCCCAATTTGGGGATATGAGATGAAAGTACATTGTAACAATAATAATAAAATTATAACTTATATTTTGGTTCAATTCCCAAGAAAAGGAATGAAAATATTATTTTATTTCATAATAAAATATTTAAAAAATAGTATGGTAATTTTATTTCATTATATTATATTCCACTCCCTTTCATTTCATTTTTTTTCATTGTACTTATCTTTAGACAAGCACATTCCATTAGGAGTTGTTAAGTCTTCTATATTAAAGTAAATTTCTCAATCATCAGGGGATCATTTTTAAGGTTTTCTCTTCCTAGGATTTTTTCTTCTTCATGTTATTATAAAGAACACTAGGTAATTTACATTGGTATAAAAATAAGAAGTTTTACATTCAATCTTATTCATTGATCTCATTTATATGTAATGACTCATACAATTAATAAATTAAAATTATTAAATATAAATAGATTCACTCTCTAAAATTAAACATAACACCGAAGTATATTGATCCTTATATATGTGTGCTCATTTTGTTTTATCACTTTTCTTTTTTCTTTAATAATTATATTATATTCACCTTTTTTTATTAATGGTAACTATTTATGTTTCATCCCATAAGACTTAGTTAAAGAGTCTTAGAAATGTAGAAGAGCATAGGTGGAAAGTATGGACACTACAAAAATTCAAGCATTTTGTGGGGGTCATATTTTCATATTATGGAGGTCTTTGACCCCCACAAAATACATTTGTGGCATTCACCCAAACCCCCAGTTCTGCCTTCGCCACAACATAGTTTGTGGGGGGTTTTTGTGCAGGGCCACAATTTGTTGAAGTATTTTCTGGAGGTTCGAGACCCCCACAAATATTACACTTTTTGGAGATTTAAGACCCCCACAAATGTTGTATTATTTGTGGGGATTTAGTAACCTCCACAATATATTTGACTTTCTGTCACTCATAGACCTCCACAACATTTATCACTTCCTGGAGGACATAGACCTCCACAATTTGTTTATTATATTTAAAAAAAAATAAAAAATGAGCTACGAGAAATGATTTTATTTGAATAATAAAAGACAACCTTCTCAAGTATAAATTTATTTATTATTTGAAAAAAATTCAAGCCACACTTAAAATTTACTTATCCCAAAATGAATCTCATCAACAATAATTTATTTCGAAAACCAAACAAATTATCCAAACAAATTATCCATACAGGCAACAACCATTAGCAGTTTCAGCAGCAATGTGACCGGAACAAGTGATCACACAGAACGTAACTCCAAGGCCAAGAAAGGTGTAAATGAACCTGATTGCAAAAAAATAAAAAAATAAGCAATTCGTTCACAATCTAACCATACAGATCAGAAGAACTTGATAATTTTACAAAAAAGGAGCATACATGCAGGAAATACTGAGTCGTGAGAACAAACAACGATTTTGTTCAAACATAGAAAGCATACAAATTTTAGGTGCCAATGCAGTATAACTCTCAAAATGAAGATATCCTAAACCAGCACCCCTGCTCAAACAATCCAGCTTATACATAACTCCATTAAAATAACCGGTTCTCTTAATTCAATCAATAGCTTGGAAGTGAATAGAATGCAAATTAGGAATTCAATAGCTTTATCATGTCAAACATAAATTCCCAATAAACAATTCTCTTTTACGCTATTAATTCCTTTGGTTTCTAAAATATGATCTTTCATTAAACAAATTAATAACAAAAGCAATAAAAATCTATTAATCTCAGAAAATCAAATCAAATTTTATTTATTTATTTATTTTAATTTTTTCTCTTCTACTTAACAACTTTCGCATCCAGGATCTTCACATCTTATTTTCACGGGTAAATCAAAGTCCAAAATTTTCTCATCCATCGCACAAGGGTAAAAAAGGGGCTAGGAAACAAAAAAAAAGAAAAAAACGAGGAGATACTTATAAATATTCTGCTAATACTCGAGATAGTTCCCAAATACAGATGTATCAATTGAAAATCAATTGAAAAGGGAAGAGCATGTTGACCAATCTATATTCTCAGTGCTAATTTCCTTTATCTATCATATAAAGAGGTCAACTATAGATCTTTTTCAATAAAGAGGTCATTTATACATGTTTTTTGAAGTAAAGTTATATACTTTAATCAAGTATCAACAAGAGATGTTTGTGCTCATGCCTGTCCTTTCGTAAAAAGACCAGATGGAGGCTAAATGAGGTTGACATTCAAGATCATAGCAGCCATGTAATCACGAGAGAATCGATGGCAACAATAGTTTTATTTTTTTATAGAACTAGGGACCCCCCCCCTCCAAAACCAAAAAAATGAGCATCTTCTTTTCCTTTCAACAATGAGGAAAGCACCTTCTCCAACAAACAATTGAGAACAAACTCGATCTCTAATTGTCATAAGCATCTCACCTCACCTTCTCCAACAAAAAATGAGCATGTTCTTTTGTTTTTGTTTTTACTTTTATACATTGCCGGGAAAAATAATTATAGAACTAAATGTACAAAACTCAGCAGAAGCAAAAAACTATAGGGTCAATTAACACAATACTTGTAATTGGTAATTGTTTCATACTCAATCAAGTTAACTTAAGAGCTATAGATTACATCAGTTCCTAGTTCCTAACATTGAAGAGGAATAGAATGCAAAGAAATTACCATGTGCTCCAAAACCATATCCAGGCCTCGATCTGGTAGTAATGGAGGGATCACCGGCTGGCCTGCCTTGAAGAAAAGCATAGGTGACTTCACAGGGTCAAATTTTGAAGGGGCCCACCACCTATTTATATGAACCATAAATAATCAAATAAATTAAATTAAAATTATCTCAAAAATTAAATCAGAATGGGCTAAACTTACCCATCATGGTAAGGAAGGATGTTCATCTGTCAAATTGACCCATGAATATAACAATCCAAACTGAACCAATTAAATGGACAAGGCATGGAATACCTGAATGGAATTGGTCATGATGTATCTGTCTGCCAATAGAGATATATGTCCCTCGTAGGTAATGCAGAGTCCAAAAAGAATCAAATACTATTAATAAAAAAAGGAATCCAACATAGGGGAGGTTAATATGGAATTTGGCTGGAGTAGTTGAGGAATTTGGTAAATAGTTGCAGACCTAATTTATATAAGTTAAATTTTGGTGTTAGAATAAAACCAAAGAGGAAGAGCAGCCACCCTCCTTTAACCTTATGACCATAATTTTGATGCTATTGATACTGAAAAGGCCTGTTAATAATTTATAATCAATAAAGTGAGGGCTTTAATAGATGCATATTGTAAAACAGAATCCACTTATTAATTATGTGAACAAATGATTGTAAAACAATCAGTTTTATGGACAAGCTCGTTGTTCACATCACTAAGAACTTCATGTCCCTGCCCAACATCAAGGCATGTAATTAGTTATACGATTCCCACACATACTATCCTAAGACTTTTATAAAATAGGGAAACACATTTAACATGTTTCATTATTTTTACAGGTTCCTCGCATCCGTGGTATCTGGGGAGGCAAAGGTCAAGGAAAATCTTTCCAATGCGAACTTGTTTTTGCTAAGATGGGAATGAAGTGAGTTATTGCTAAACTAATACTAACCCCTACTAAAATACCTATACTACCACAGAATGCATCAGTTATATTTATTAGCAATCAATTCATGATTGAAATTGAAAGTCTCTTTTATGCATTAGAACTTAGTACCTAGCAGTTAGCACTCAACAATTGATGTATGTGTCCCCATGATGTTGTAATTACAGCCCAATCATGATGAGTGTTGGAGAGGTGGAAAGTGGAAATGCAGGAGAGCCAACAAAATTGATCAGACATTACAGCAGCAAAGCAATATCAAAATAAAAGACACCTACCAAGATTTTCTACCGTAAGCCCTATTTTCCCCTACCTTCAAAAGTTCCAAAAGCTCAAAACTAAGAAAGAAAACAAGCATAATACAGATGCGTAGAAGAAAAAGAACAAGAATGAAAGGGGATAGGAACTTGCACCTGCTTGCTTGGGGAGTGTACGCTAACCTCCATGGCCATGCTTCTTAATGTACTCAACCAATGCTTCATCTTCTTCAGGAGTCCAAGCTGCCCTCCTCACTCCATGTTTATCAAAACATGGTGCTTTCCCCATCTGCACTACCACCTCATTACCACAATAATAATAATGTCACTACAATAATAATAATAATAATAATAATAATAATAATAATAATAATAATAATAACAAACCTTTCATACAACCCATCATCATAGGTAAGAAAGAGTGTTGCAGAAGAATGCAGCATTTGCATCAAAGTCAGAAGTTAAAGTATTGGATCAGAGCAACAATCTACGAGTCATGACCAAATAAAACAGAGAACATATTATTGATTAAAGTTTCATAAAAATTGAAGAAAATACCCAAAATCAAGTCACGTTCACAAGCAAAAAAAAACACATAGGGGAAGGCACAGCTAAAATTACCAGTTCTATATCAATTCTTAATTCAATCTCATACAACATCTGAGATTCAACACGCCTCGTAGCCTTCCACAAATTATTCCAGATAATGAAGAAGAACAAATTATAAAAGAGAATCCATGAGAAGATATATAGAAGGAACCTTGAACTTCATCTGATGGTAACGAGCGACTGCAGAGAACGATACGCTTCGTGATCTGATCTCATCATCCTCCGATGAATCACCGTCTTTGTTTGTGAGTGAGGAAGAGGAAGACTTATTGGAAGTGCTGGAAACAGAGCTCTCTCTGAAACTCTAACTACTGCTTCTCTCTAGAACCTGATCGTTGGAATCGGAATTGAACCTTCAAAGCAACAAATTCGCAAAAACAAAGAAAAGATCAAAACGAAGATAACAGAGGCAAGAATGAACGAGAGAGTGTGTGAGCTTGTTAAGGTTACTTTGGAGTAGAAAGCGAGGGAGGAGGAGGCATCGTGTGAAGAAGCAGAGAGGATGTAACCATTCGTTCTTTGAAACTTGGGAATTTTATTATCCGTTAAAAAAAGTTATAATGGAAAAAAATTTAAAAACTTTGAGAATACAAATAGTGTGGAGGTCAGAACGTGCTAGAAAATTATAAAAACTTTAAAAAGATGGAAATAAAATGTGGCGTCCTCTGAAAATGCCACTATATACATAATTGTTGGGGGTTTTATAAACCTCCACAAAATAACCTCCACGAATAACATATTTTTTTGTAGTGGGAGCAGGAACAAAACCCTCCTTAGTTATATTTAAATCTCCAACCATTAAGCTACACTATATTTTCTTTGACACTTCATGTTGGTCAGAATTCATAATTTCATCGATAAAATATTTAGGATCAATAATGTTATATGTACAAAATATTTAATGCGCGAATCTCACAAAAAGAGAAAAGGAAAAAAAAATCAATCCAGTATGACTTTTTTTATAAATTTGATGAAAAAAATTGTGATAATAATTTGATTTATGATTTTTTTAAAAAAACATACATTTTTTGTAAAGTAATATTATTGATTTGTGATTATTTTTATATCTTCGCGCAAACACTTTAATTATATTAATATTATTTTCATTCATAAAATAAAGTATTTTCATGCTAGTTAGGCTTGCTAGATAATTCGAAGGTGTGTGTATGATATTAAGCATAGTTACAATTAAAGTAATTGAATTAAATTACGAATAAACTTTTTCTTTTCTATTAATTTTTGTTTACGGCTAATAATCAAATTCTGCATCCATTTAATTCAAATACTTTAATTATAACTCATACATGAATTGAAAGCGTCATACATTGCTAAAATATATAACACCTTACTTATAACTCATTACCATGTATAGTCCCCATAAACCAACATGGCACAAAACTTTTTTATTCAGGCTTAGCACTGAACAGTCATTACATTTTCTAAAATTGGGACTTCAACTCTTTTTCATAAATTCTCATCTTTTACTATGTTAAACTAGATGTATCAAGATTTCTAACGACATATTTTAAACTTTGATTGGATCTGTATAACTCAAGATACATTTGTCACAAGCCAACTGCTTTCAAACCGCACTTCCAAAAACAGGGTAGCAACCACAAAATTAAATTGGGAATGTTTCACTGTCAATAAAATTCTAAACTTTTGAGACAATAAACTAGACTCCTAGGGATTTAATTTGATATATAATATACCCTGTTTGGTTAAGGAACTAAAGAGTTACGGCCGTTACAAAAATTGACCCAAATCTGCCAGTTCAATTATGAACGTGGACAATGTTCCTTATTTCAAAATCTGGGAATGACTTTCAACCCATAGAATTTCCATATTTTAGGACATGAAAGTGAACATCTTAAGCTTTAATTTGATACCACACACGTTCCATTTGATTGAGAATTGAGTGAATTATGAATATTCTAAGATGGTTGTCATACTAAGCCCAATAATAAAAATGGGCAGCACTTTGCTGCATTCTTAAGTTAAGGGTTATCTCAACCCATTATGGTACCTAATTGACCAATATCTCATTCTCATCTTTATCGTACATTGTCATAATTCTTATATGGCCTTTTTTGAGCATATCTTATGATTCTTTCATTTTACTTACATAATTCAATCTTATAAGTTATGCCTCATGGCTTACATATTTCTTTCGTGATCCATATATAACTTTTATGTCCTTAAATCATCTTGTGACTCTCATAATCATTTGGTATCAACATACATTACTTTTATTATTGGATTACCTAATGTTACATTTACATAGGCCTCACATATACTTGGTACGTTACAATAAAACATCAACATTCACATTCTATGGTCCAATGTTAACATGCATAATAATGCTTTCTTGCATAAATATATATTTGAATATTAAGGATCCAAATGTTGATCTTACATTCATCATTGGATGACTTAGCCATTTTCTGGTTAGGTCGATCATCACATGACTTAAACCTCAATCTGGACACCACCATTCACATACATGCAACATTTTCGTGCTATGGTTCATACTCATAACAAGATATCAATCCTTCACTATTGTTTTCATATTCATCTCATCACATCACCTAACATTCTATATGAATAGGCATTCATTTTCATAGCTTGCATCTCAAGCAACCTTATAAGCATGCGTGTTTCATACATATGTTCATATGATGACATTCATCCTTGTGAACATCTACTTTACATTGTACATCTTAACATGAAAGTCCAATTACATAATCATAATCTCATGGACATAAACATCAATAAATCTTTAGATTACATAATCCAATTACATTGTTTTCTAACAAATATACTTAATCGGGTTATACAAAATACATATGACCAATATCTAGGTCTCAAATGCACATATCATGTGAATACTCAAAATAAATTTGTTTACATGATATCTACATCAAAACATAAATGGAAAATCCACATGCTATGTCATAACATCTAAGTGGGCTTCTTGCCACGGGATGCTCCCTCTCCATTTGTGGAGGTACCAGAAATATATCCCCAAACACTAATGAGCTAAAAATCTCAGTAAACTAAGGGTTCTTGGAGGGTCACTCCATCCTATAGTTCACTTCATGTGCATCAACAGTAAAATAACATAGGATACAATACATTCTCTGTCATTATTATTCTATTTACTCTGTTCTGTATTACGGGACTTTCAAGAGATTATATTTAAGGCTATATCTCTTTGGTATTTTCTTAGTGTCCCACTTAAGGCTGCACTCCTAGGAAATATTCCACAAGGAGTCCCTTAAGGGGCTATGCTCCAAGGAAAGTTCATCTATAGTCTATTTACAAGAGATATTCGGGTATTACTCTTTGATATTCATTCACCATATAGAGTCCCATTTAAGACTGCACTCTTACGTAACTACATCGCAAGGAGTCCCTCAAGGGGTTGTGCTCTAAGGAAAATAGACAAATGTGGTTCTACTAGCCAAAGAATTCTCACAACATACATATATCTCATTCATCATTGTCAATGTTCTGTAAATGCATGATGTCATGTTCTAATACTATTATACACATTTATCACTATAACCATTACTCCAATGGAGTATGATGAAACACACAAAGGGATTAACCCCAAGGTCTAGAATTTTACCTATTGTAGACTTCCGTTAACTGCTATTTTCTACTGTCAGAGTCTCAATCATAACCAACCACACAAAGCAACCTATGTCAAATGGTGGAAATGTGATCAACAACATATAAAACACATAAAACATCAAGTATTTGGCTAGATTCTATTCTCAAACATCATTTGCATGACTTACCCTCTTTGGTAACTCTCAAGAACTCTAGTCCTGAACAATGGTTGGCCCCAATGGATGTTCCTCAACTATCAAGTCACAAGACACAACACTACAACATTAAACAACACCAAACACACCATTATAATCCAAAAAGAAAAAAAGAAAAAGAAAATCGAATTTCTCTCCCCTATGTTCATGAACAATTTTCCAAACATGGTTCAAATGGTGATTTCTTTGTTTTTTCTTTATCATGAAACAATCCTAAGCATGTTTAACAGAGGAACCAATGCCATTTCATCGTCCAAATCATACCAACCAACATTTTTGGAATTTACACATAACAAAACCTAGATTTGTCAAAAATCCATGAAAACTTGTAAGGAGGAAGATTTCTTACCACAATTCACCTTAGAATGGTATGAGAAGAAGTTCCTAAGCTCTAATGAACTGAAATGCTCTCAAAATCCAAGAATCCATCAAATTTTCGTAACTGTAAATGGGGAATATCTCACTTGAACTCCGAAAATAAGGTGTGGGTTTTGCTCTTGGGAGAAAACTAAGCAACTTTGACTTTGGAATCACTTGATTACGTTCACTATAGCCCACTCTGGGATTTCTTGAAGCTTTGGTAATAGAGAATTTTTTTTCCTGTTTTGAGGGAGGAGAAGCTATCGATGGTGATCCGATTTTTTGTGTCAAAAATTATGACTTAATTCACTTAAACATTGTATTGACTAAGTCAACAACTCACTAAATAATTATTTGCTCATTTAGCCTCACTTTCATCTTTTATTCTTATGCTTTCTAGCTAATACTTGATATTTTTAGACATGTGTTTTTATTTAATAAAACATCATAAATTAGTCTCACTAATTTATTTACAAGTTTCAGGTAATTTTGCATATATTGCATTTACCCCAAAACTCATTGTAATTGCACTTTTATCTAAGAAGAGACTTAACTATAAAAATTAGATTTCTAATCTAATTTAACTCTTCATTTCATGGAAATTTCCTAATTATCAATTTTACTAAATTATGTTATTATAAAGGTAGTTTATACACTTATCATAACTTGAAATTTGAGTCGTAATAATACAAGACTATGCAATAAGTACATAAATTGATGCATTGATGGCATGACACTGTGTGATAAAGGAACAATAAGGTATTGTTTGATTTATTTTTTGTTTTCATTTTAAATTCACATGTTTTTCACCAGTAATTACAAGAATGCCACCTTATTTTTATTTTATTTTATATTTTCACGATTTTGTGAACAAAATGATGAAAATAACAATTTTATTCTTAGGACTTTCTCCACAAAATCTTAAAAGCAAAAAATAAAATACAAAAATATGGCATCATTTATCGATGAAAATATATCAGTTAAAAATGAAAAAGAAAACATAGTTAGGCAGCGAAGTACAAGTAAAAAAAAAAAAGTTCGACAATCAGTCTCATAATTTTATTGTTTGGTCCATTGAAGAAAAATAACCTTGGCATTTAAAACAGAAACACAATATCTTCCATTATAAGCATAGCAAATTTTTTTTTTGAAGATTAAGAAAAGATTCAAAATGAATGTTGAATGATTACAACATATTTTCCTTTGTAATTACCCTATTACCAAAACCTAAAACCTTCCTACAAAATAATAATTCCATAACTAAATACTTCACATGAACTATTTCTGCATTTCTCCTTTCATATAACAAATAAACTTACAAACTAATGTTCCAAAGGAAAACATTAGAATAAACTAAAAGCTAGTAAAATTATAGTAATTTTGCTTCGTACAACATTGCATGCCTTACTGTTGTTGTATAAAACTTTCCATAAAACATTGCGAGCCTCCACATCATACAAAAACCTTGATGCAATACACCATTTCATCCAACCTACTATCATTCTATGATTTACATCCTCATAAATCTCTCCATCCTTTTGTAAAATTAATCCTAGATATCTAGAAATATCTTTCTCGAGTACCTCTTATCCAAATGCATGGAATCTCAATCTCAATCTCTTACTAGAGAAAACTCACTTCATATACTCAGTCTTACTACGACTTAACATAAATCCTATAAACTCTAACATGCTTTATCCATAATTCTAGTATTTTGTTAACAATAACCTTTGTCCCATCAATACGCACAATATAACATGCAAATATCATATACCATGGCACTTCGTCTTGGATGTCACATGAAAATTTCTCTATGACTATGGCAAAAAGATAAGAACTCTAAGTAAGATATTGGTGTACACCTACCTTAATAGGAAAATAACCTAATATCTCATTACAAGTTTTTACACATGTAGTAGCACCATCATACATACTGTCTCTACATAATTTAATGATATTTTTTCTTCTCAAGAACCTATCAAAGAACCTTTTTTTGAACCCTATCATATGTCTTCTCGAGATCAATAAACACCATATGTAGGTCTATATTAATTTCTCGATATCTTTCTATCAATTGTTGTATCAAGAAAATAGTCTTCATGGTACATCTTTCTGACATAAATCCAAATTTATTTATAAGGACCTTGGTCTTTAATCTTAAGCTACATTCAATAACTTTTTCTCACACTTCATAGAATGGTTATAAGCTTAATGCCTTTATACTTAGAATAATTCTAGATATCTCCCTTGTTTTTGTAAATAAGCACAAGCAGACTATTCCTCCATACAATAGGCATCTTCTTATGAGTTTGAAGAATCTTATCAAAAAGATTTGTCAACCAACTTATTGTCACATTCTGCAGATGTAACACCCCGTGTATACCCAGTTTGTTAACATGTCATCGTATTAAGCCACGCTTAATTAAAAATGCTGCATAACTTTTTCTTTTCAATTATGACGTCATTAATATTACCAAGTTGATTACTTAATTCTTTTCATAAAACATCTCCTATATGTAAATTGCAATAAGGCTAAATACACTGAATAACCTCAATATATAAATAAGTGGGTTTCTGAGTCACGGAACTACAACACGTAGTCCGGACCATCATCCTGATACAATTATACAATTCAATGCTAAAATAAAACAGAGTCAATCAATGTGGCATAGACAACCCCCATGCTCACCAAATAAGGCAACAAAGCCCAACAATGTCTCAGCTCAATAAACCATAAAATGTAGCTAAACATAAGCAGCATCCAATCATAGCAGTAGTATCAGCATGCAATAGTCAACTAAGCTCCGGCCTCCTGCAGGACGAGGCATCAGCCCCTGAGGTACCTGAACTTGAGAATATGCCCTAAACGTGGGGTGAGATCTCTAAACATAAATCTCAGTAAGACAAGGGGTCCTCAAGATCTCTCCACCCCAAGCTCACTTACATGTGCAATATAAGTTCAAAAGCAGTTTAATAATATAAGTTCAAAAGCAGTTTAATAATATAAGTTCCAAAATCAGTGCAATGCAACATATAATCATGTCATGTGTGTTGTAACTATTCTACTGGCCAGAGAAATGCAGGAATACGTCTATTACCCACATCAGTACACACCCATGTCGTACCTGCCCACATGATCATATTCCCGTCTAGGCAAAACACCACATACATATCATAAGGCATTTACACTTAACGGCTCAGTAGCATTTCAATAAATCAACACATGAAAACACATCATGCATATAAACCATTCCTCCATGGGGTATGGTGGAACCAGCAATGGCTAAACCGAGGACACGAAAGCTTACCTCGCAAGCTAAACCCTCCCTCACAACTCGGTGTGCAAAGGCACAAGTAATAACAGTGTCCAGCAAGGTCAAAGATCTGTTTTCATAACATTCATACTATCAATAAATATATCATAGCTTTTCTGATTTAAAACGAACATTATTTCTTTTTCGTTTCGCTTACTGCTGGCTCTTTTCAAAGCCACAAGCACTAAACTATCTTTACCATTTTCAAGACTACAATTTCATCTCTTTATGAAATATTCTAAGATTTTACTATGTTAAACTAGACATCTTAAGGTTTCCAACGATATATTTTATGTCTCAATCGGAGTTGTATAACTCCGGTTATATTTTTTGCAAAGTAACTGCTGCAAACTGAATTTCCAGCAATCAAGTCGCGACTTTAAACCAACACTACGACCAAACCACTTATCCAATGGCTATGAAATTTTCCATAATTTTAGCCCTATGTGTTATCTTTACATAGGTCCAAACCTCACTCAATTTGGAGCTCTGTAGCTTGAGATATCACGATTTTACTATACTAGGTCGTTGTTGTCACAGGTAGGAATCGATTCCCAAACATGGGGAATCCATTCCTGCACTTGGAAATCGATTCCCAACAGAAGGGAATCAATTCCCACGCGCGTAGAACAGAATTCTGTAGCAGATTTCTGCATAATCTGAGGTGGGAAAGGTTCCTAATGATCCAAGGCCCGATTTTCTCAAAAACAGAAGTTCCAAAGCATTAAACATGCATAAATTAATCACTTTTAACTTGATTAATCAAAGTTCCCTCATTTAGTGACTTAAACAAGCTAAAATTATGGATTTCAAGAGGAATGATCAAGGTATAGCTATGGAGGTCTCAAAGCAGCAAAAAAAATAGGCTCTTGGAGCTCTCCAACAAGGCTCAAAGTTCTGACTTTGCAAGAGCACGAAAATGGTGGTCAAATGTTGGTTCTTTCTCACCAAAAATCACACCTTGAAGCTCCAACACTCAAGGAAATGGTTCCCACAATAAGGCTCATGAACTCAACCCTCCCAACACTCCCAAAACAGAACCTAACTCAGAACATAAGAGCTTTTCTCCCACCCAAGTCTTAATTACACTCAACCATGGTGATTTGATGAAGAAAGAGTGGAGAAATGTGATCACTTGGGCTTGTTCTTGAAGAAAATGGAGGTGGAAAGCTTGGAGAGCACAAACTCAGAAGTGGAGGCATAAGGGTCACGTATGAATGCAAATTTTCTGACCTAGGATCATGTGCCACCCCTTATATAGCTCACTTAAGTTTTAATCGCTCAGTATTAGCGCTAATAGTTACGCTTAGCATTTTTTTCCCATACTTAGGATTCTGAACCTTCTCATTTTTCTAAGATTTGTCATATTTTTATTTTATTTTCGCAGCATCTTTCCGGTACGCGTTTTCACGCTGACAGTATTAGTTCTAACATCAGTTCTCGTGATTTTGACTTGAAACTTGTTTTACTAGTCTTACATATTATTCTAGGAATATTCATGCACTTATTATAATTTTCTGGGATACTTCATCGGTACGCTTTTATACCGTGGAGCAGAACCGGTATCTGCACTTTTCGTCAGAAGAGCAACTTTCAGTGTTATTTCACATTTCCTATAATTATTTAAGCCTTCTCATAATTATTAGGGTCAATTATAGAATTATTTCCTAATTCTCATATCTAATTTACTTAATTTCCTAAATTAAATGTGCGGGTTCTTACAGCAGACATCTCCACACTTTCATAGGGACGTCATCGGGTTCCCAACCTTACTAGTCTTCATCATCTTTAATGTCTCTATAATGTCTTGCACTTCAATTCTATACATAAATCATTTGTCCAAATCATTTTAGGCATTCTCAAGATCCCCATCACTTTTGTTGCTATCTCCGTTAAAAACTTTGTTAAAATAGTTCATCCATGTTTATTTAACTTCTGTATCTTTTACCAAAAGTTTTGTATTCTTGTTCTTGATGCATCAAACCTAGGTCAAGTCTTTACTTTTCTTATCCCTTATTTTACAACTCTATATATACCTTTTTCACCTTCTTTGCTCCTAAGTTTTTTGTACAAATTGGATAAAACTTTTCCTTTATCCTCTCACACTTCTTTCTTAGAATTTATGGTCAATCTAAACTTTTGCAAGTTCTCCTTAACAATATATTTATCCAAACATCTAAAGCAATATTTTTTTGTTTAATTGCCTATTACACCTCTTTGTTCCATATTTAATTTGCTTCTCCATCTAACTGTCATGGTTATTCTTGAAGCATTCTTTTATAAAACTTTATTTATTTTTCCTCTAATAGATTTCACCATCTTATTCTTGGGTTTGAGGATTATTTTTCATTTTTTGTATTTTGTTTAACTAAATCTCTAAAACCACCAACTTATGTTGCGTAGCGATAAATTCTCTAGGGTAGACTTTACAATCTACACATGAGGTTTTATCTTCTTATCTAGTAAGAAAAAAATTAATCTGGCTATAATTTGGTGGCAACAATAAATGATTAAATGTGACTTTTTTACGAAAAAATATGTTTGCCAACATCAAATCATAAACTAGTGCAACATTCAAGATATCTTCTCTAGGCTTATTTCACATCTCACAGTCAAAACCTCCATGAATTCTATCAAAATCACAACTACTTTGTCCAACATGTCCATTTAGATCTACTCTTGTGAAAACCTCCTCCTTGCATGGTATCTCCTTCAAATCTTCATAAAATTGGTTCTTATTGAATACTTATAGTCCAACTCAGGGGCGTACACACTCAAGATATTAAAAATTGAATCATCCATGACAAGTTTAACTAAAATTATCCTGTCATGTTTTCTTTTGACACTAGTAACACTGTCTCTTAATTTTTTATTGATCATAATTCACACCCTAATTTTGCTCTTGTTTATATGTGTGTACTATAACTTGAATATGATACCTTCCATTTTAGCCTCTTCTCCAACCCACTTAGTCTCTTGCAAGTACACAATATTCACTCTCCTTCTTACAAAAACATATGCTAACTCACTCAACTTACATGTTAAGATTATGATGTTCCAACTTATCAATGCATCCTTATCCTTTATTCCTTTCTTGCCCACCATAGTCGCCCATAAATGTTTAGGACCCTAGCATATTTGTCACCAAATTCGGGTGAACATGTGGTGCCTTACCTTGGACAAGGACCCTAACCTATTTTTCACTACACTTGGGATTTGATGCAATGCGTCGATAAGAAAGATAAGCTCAAACAAAAAATTATAAGGGTTCATCTCATATGATATTTTTTTGGCACACTACATCTAACACCAATCCTCCTCATGTACCCTCGCTTGGGGGATAGGTAATGTATGCATACATACATATATACAAAGGTGAAGTTGATTTATCCTTTTTTATTTACACAAATTTAAACATAGAAGACAATTGTTAATTATGAATTAAAATTCCAATAATGGGCACGAACAAAATTTCATACTCTAAGAATCATTTTACTTCTCATTGGGAATAAAACAAAATAAAAGAATTACTTTTCTTCTATTAGCCTTGCCTTTTAAATATTTACCGCTAATCTAAAGAGATAATACGCAATAGACAAATAGAAAACATGAGAAATTAATTAAAGCAAAGTGAGAACTGAGAAGCAATCACAATTGACAGGTATATATATCACCAAGCAATTTTAGGGGGAATGAGAGCAAAATTGATGTTAGTAATATACTCAAAATTACATTAGATATTCTACATTTATATATAAACGATGACAACTTTTGTTTATCTTCTAAACCAAATCAGTAACCATTTTGAAGTATAAAGTTAAGATCCCGGGAGAAAATAATAACCCTGATGGAGGATATATTTGCTTTCTCATGTCCTCATGCATTTTTTCCAATTGTTTTGTTAAAAGAATCTTTAGCATAGGATTCAGTGCTAGAGTTGTAGCAACCGAAGTTCAGCAGATTTTTCTTCTCAGTTGTCTTTCCCTTATTCATAATATTTCTAAATAATCTTCTGCTTCTCTCTTTCTTCTCGATTCCCTGTTATAAGGCATAAAATCAGAGTTTAACGAACAAGGTAGAACCAAAAAAATATCTTTCAACATAGATTCAGAGTTCAAAGTATCTAATTTAGTAAAACTTCGTTAATTCGGTCCTTTAAACATGTCATCTAGGTAATCATTTAATTATAAATACAACAAATTAATATTAAATTAGTTCACAAAAGACAAAAATAATTACATCTAATTATTTATTGAAGAACTAAACAAATGGGAAGCAACACAAGCTATGGAACCATGACTACCTTGTTGGAATTGAGAATTTCCTCATTTTCTGACTTATTCTGTCTGTTTGTTGAACCATCATCACCTACAAGAAAAGAAGCAAGCTTAATTAGAATCCATTTACAGCCTTATTCACATCTATCATAGTTTAATATGAATATGATGAAAACGGTGGAGGATATAACTTAAAACATATGGCATTCCCACAAAATACATGATTAAAAATTTTAATTATGATTAAACTCCGACTCAAAAAGTTGAAGTTCAGAATCATTAGACCGACTAGTCAAATTGGTATAAAAAAAATATATGGCAGATCACTCACTACTATTCTTGGTGCTTTCCCTCGAGTCACAATCATTGGATTCTCCGTCAGAACTTCGATCCCCAGAGTCATGACCATTGCAATAATCCCTAAAACTTGGTGAAGCAGTGCCAATGAAGCTATCGTCCCTACAATTATTCTCTTCATGCTCTTCTTCATTCTTTACATTCTTTGCATGTTTGTCATCGCTACCATGCTTTTCTTTTTCTCTTCTCTCAAACACCCTATCGTCCTCCTTTGTATCTACTACATGTTTCTCTTTCAACATCTCGTCATTAGATCTTTCCTCTTTTGTCTTCCCTTTTTCATCACCCAATGGCTGCTTCACCTCCAAGACGTCACCGACAACGTCCTTATCAACACCCTCATCGCCATTGTCTAAATCCTTCTTGTTTTCTGCAACGGGGGGAACAATAACATGATGTCTGACCCGGTTGGAACGGTGACCGTGACCCAGGGATGCATCTTCTGCTTCAAAGGTTGAGATGCCACAACCCATGATGGAAAACAAGTATGGAATGAAGTTGAGAATGAGAACAAAGGAGGATTCAATAGAGAGAAAGAGAAAGAGAAAGAGAAAGAGATCAGAGAGCTTGTGAAATTAGGGTTACAGGGTTTGATTTGTTATACAATCGTTTGTCGTTTAATTATACGTTGAGGAAATTATCCTGTTTTCTTGGTGTCATCTTCTTTGCTCTTAGGTTTTTTTTTTTTTTGGATAAATTGCTCTTAGGTTTCTACAAACACAAAAAATGACATGGTGAAATAGAAGAGAGAGAAACAAAAATTGGAAAAATAAACCAACAACTTTATTGTGAAAGAGAAAACCACTAGTTTGATGTGCCGCTCACAATTATCCTCTGGCTGTCATGTTTTTCGGCCCAACAAGATAAACAGAAAACTATAATGCATTTTATCATTCATTTTTTTAAAAATAAACTAGGGTTAATTCTTGTATAAACTCTTGAACAAGCAATTTTTTTATACACACGGCCAGTGATCGAATCCCTGTAAGCATGTTTAAAATCGAGCCATCTACCAAGTGTACTGGATTTTGTTGATAATTTAGTTTGTTGAAATTAAAACGGAAAACTAGGAAATGCGACAGGTGTTCACGAAGGCAAGCGTAAACTTTTAGATTTTTAATTGTAATCGTTGTTTATAAATACTTTCATTCACATTCAATGTTATCAAGCATGGAAAATTAAATTATTGCATATATATTAAAGGGTGGTAGTTCAGTTGGCGTATGAGAGCTGAGCAGGTGAAAGTGAGAATATGTGTTCGAACCTCTCCAATATCATCTTTGGGAGGGGTTTAAAGTCTTAATCCTGGACCCGCCCCGAATCGGACCAGTCGCGAAGCGAAACCGATAGAATCTTTCCAAAAAAAAATTATTGCATATATATATATATATATATATATATATATATATAAGGTCAAGATCATTTTACACCAGTGTAAGTTACACTCTCAATCTTGTCCGTTGATCCCACTTATATCTAAGGGCTCAAATTTTTTAATAATGTGAGCCATTGGATACAAGTGAATCAATGATCAAGATTGAGTGTAAGACTTCTAACTCTTACATCGGTGTAAGAATATCATATCCCATATATATATATATATATATATATAAATAAGTCCAGCATGGAAATAATATTGGATTAGTGCCGTATGATTTCTATGCAGCCATGAATCTCGTACTGTTGCAATTGGAGACTCGTTCCATTCGGTCAACATATGGATTAACCACATTAATTTGAAAAAAATTTAGAAAATGAATTAAATTAAGATATTTTTTTGTTAAATGTTATACAATGATAAAAAATCTGTCAATAGAAGATTGTTTTCCAAATTTATAATAGTATTTTTTTAAAAAGAAAATCATGATTTTAGAAGGTCCCCTCACCCCAAGCCACTACTGTTGTTAAAAGAACCATTAGGACTGGTTTGTATGAATATACGGTTTGTTGGATCCAACAACTAGTTTGTTGGGCCACATACGCCACGTCACACAACCCAACTCAGTTATTTGTTAGTTTTGATTCACTTTACCTATAATTTAAAGATAGAGTTATAATTTTTTTTTATAAACTTATAAATTATATTATATTTTATCGGTAAAACATAGCGTAGTTTGTAAACAAAAAGTTTATAAATATAATCTTTCCTTAATTTAAAAGCAGTACTTTTAATCCAAAAAAAATAGTACTTTAAAGTTTTAACTACCAAAAAAAAAAAGCAGTTCCTTTTTATATGAATAACTTTTCAAACAAATTATTATTTACTAATAGAAGGGAGATAACTATATAGGCTTTTTTACCCTTTTGCCTTTTATTAATTAATTAATAATCATTTTTCCCCTGATTCGAAACTATTTATCAATCTGCCCCTCTTTAGTCGATTACCTTGCATTTTTAATCGACTAAATGGCCAAAACAGACAAAAAATGGTTGTTGGGAGATTTAGCCAACTAAATCTCCCTATTTAGTCGACTAAATCTCCATATTTGACAACAACAAAAAAAAAAGTCAGTAAGATTTTAATCGATTAAGTAGGGAGATTTAGTCGATTAAATCTCCCATTAATCGTTTAATCGATTAAAAATGCAAGGTAGTCGATTAAAGAGGGGCAGATTGGTAGATAGTTTCGAATCAGAGGCAAAATGGTTATTAATTAATTAATAAGGGGCAAAAGGGTGAAAAAGCCTGTGATCTTGTTCTAACTGTTAATTTTCTGAAGCGGAAAAATAAATAATTTTTTTTTCGATAAACAAAAATAAATAATTTTATCAAACATTATTTTCAATCATTTTTGTTCCCCAAACTAAAAATAAAATAAAATAAAAATATTTTATAAAATATTGTCGTGCACCCCCTAAATAAAATAAAAGGGTTAAGTTTAATATATCATGAATACAAAATAATTTTAATTATATATTTTTAGATAATTTGTGTTTGACAACTCTAGCAATATAAAACCTTTCATTAGAACAACAATCCAAACAATTTTAATTCATTTATAAATCACTTGATAGTCTATGAAAAATTAAAAACATTAAATCAGTGCGTATACTGATATACCAACCCCAAAAGAGAATGACAACATTTTTCTGGGTTGAAAGAGATTTTTGTCATTTGAAGTTTGTATTGGTTTTCATTGGGGATGGAACTTGCATTTAGGGAGACAAAGTTTGATGTTGATGGAGAACAAGCATCATTCTGCGGAAAGCATTGTTGTTTTTCGAAACTGGAATTCGAAGCAAAACTAATCTTACAAGTTAACACCGACATGCGACTTTCTTTTGCTTTGGTCGGTAAGCCTTCTCTTCTTCGTCTTCAGTCATTGCAAAGACAACAACTTTTGGTCAAAATGAATCACACCCACCAAAAAAGTTTTGATTTTGTTCTCAGTTATGTCATTTTCAGTTCTTCAGCAGTACCCAGTCACTCTTCGAAGAGGACGTTTTGGCACCCTACAGCACGCCAAAACGCCCAGAGGTAGACAACAACACACTGGGAGGATGTTTTAGCGCACAAATAGCACGCTAAAACGTCCATGTACGAACCCATCAGCCCAAGATTCAACTAAGATTGCCAATGGATACAGATCGCGATATCTGGGATTCAAGCTGAAACATATCGACCTTGATTCATAGAGATCCACGGGAAGATTGAAGGAAGATTATAACAAGATTCAAAGTCAAAAATTTGTCACCAATCTACAAGATCTTAAATGCAAAAATGAAACAACTATGGAATCAATTACAAATCTGATACGGATTTGTTGGGAGATTGAATGAAGGATACAACTCCAATGATTATAAATAAGGAGCTGAGGGTCAAGACCTAAACACCAATTCACAAGTCTAGAGAAATACATAGAGACTCGAAGAATGAATCCTGTTGCGGAGCGCTGGGACACTGAAGAACCAAGTCAACATCACACTAATGGAGGCTTGGGGTTCTCTTTTCTTTACTAGGCTAGACTAGACTTTTCTGTAGTTAGGGGTAGATGGAACCCAATTGAATCTTTATGTTTATGGATTAAATTGTCTCTGAATTCTTTTCTTTTTATAATTGAATAAATTTATCTGTTTTAATGCTTTCTATGAGTTTGCTCCTTATAGATTGACTTTGGGGAATTGTATGACAATAAGGATGTTGGTGCATGAACCCTGATTTGATAAATTTATCATAATCCTTGTGATCTAGGGATAGACATAGGGTAATTGTGCAATCTTTAAATTCTTGATCTTAATGCATGTTTTCTTGGGGAATAATCGGGGAACTCGAGTTCTTTCAAGATCACATAGATTTAGGGTAACAAGGAATTGAGCCCTAATTAACTTAGATAGAATTGATTGGCAATATATTAAGAAAAGGTTCTTGACTTTTTAATTCATAACATATTGAGGAGATTGGGGGAAGTCGAAACCCTAACTACGCTTGTTTTAAATTCTTAATCAATCATCATCTTTTCAATTGTCTTTTTAATTCTGAAATTTCTTTAATTGAATGCAATTACTTGTTTTTAATTTTAAGTTCTTTAGTTACAATTCTCTCAAATCCTACTTTTGATTGTCCAACTAAGACGCGATTAGCGAACTAGTGCTTGAAAATCTGATCCTCGTGGGAACGATCTCGTACTCCGGTACACTTTATTACTTTACGACCGGTGCACTTGTCGAGTCGCAACAACCACCTTGGGTCCATCATCAACTCCAACGTATTTGGAGATTTGATCACTACGCTGCAAGCTTTGGAATCATGAATACGTTGTTGGGCTTCAACCTTTGGGTCATTTGCATCTCATAGAACACGACAACAATCCATTCTTCACCCTCTAGTTCTCCATCAAAGGCGCCAAAGACTTGATCATCGTCATAATCTTGCTCTCTATCAGAATCATCATAGATTGAATCATTATCACAATCTCATTTTACATCATAGTCATCATATATGGGACTATCATCATAAAATAAAATGTCAAGAATCTTGATCGTCATCTCGCCACATTGAAAAGTAGACTGATTTTCTAGTTGTATTCTCCAATTTCGTCCTTGGTTTAGAATCCCCAAAGGATTGATGTCTCCCTCTTTGGTATCATATGCATCCTTTGATTCCATTTGTTCTTTAGATTGAACATTCAATTTTGTCTGCACAAGTCTTTGCTCGAAATCTTGGATTCGCATGCTTTATAATGGAAAGTGGAAGGAGCTGAAGGAGTTGTTAGAGGAGAGACCAATCTTAAAATCATGGTTCTCTATGATTCTTTTAAGTTTTTGTAGGGTGAAATTGGAATAATTGCAAGATTGTCATGAGATAATAGCTCTTTGTGAACACTAGTGAAATGACTAGTACAGAAGCTTCATAAAATGTGAATGAACTATCTAGACGTTTTTGAACTCTGTATAAAAGTATTGGCAAACAATTTATTTACCATTCCTTTTTATAAATGAGTAGTTTGTGTAAAGAAAGTGTATGTAACATTATA